TTACACTTCTATAAATATTTAGGATGCTTACTTTTACAAATGAACTTTAGAATCATCTTGTCTAGTTCTGCCCCTTCCTCAAGAAAAACTAGAGAGTTTTATTGAGATCATGTTAAATTTATAAATTAAGAACTAATATCTTTAAGCTGAGATGTGTTCTTGTCTAGGAACATGGTCTTATTTGTTCGACCTTTTTATTAAACTATTAAATTAAAAATTTTTTTAAACTGGCAAAGCAAGATACTTGATGACTCAATGTATCTGTCCTTTAGAAACTAAAGGAAATGAGATGCAAGGATAAACGACAACTTAGTTGGGGGTTCTAAAAAGAAAAGCCATTTGCTCTAAAGTACTCCCCCAAAACTAACCTATTTCTCAGGCTCACCTCCTGGGATGCTTATTAAGAATAGAGTATCCTAGACCCACACCAGCTCTTCTGAAACCAAAAAAAAAAAAACTATTTTTAACAAGTGTATCACAAGATTCTCATGATTTAAAAAGTTAGGGAAACACTTCTCCAAAGAGTTAAATTAGCTCTCATTAAAAAAAAAAGAAAAAAAAGGCCTTCCCCTATTCTCCCGACCTCTATCCTCTTTATAGGAGAATTAAGATTCCCTCCTCAATCTTCCTCTAGGGTTCTAACCTTCTGTGTATCATCTCCTTTGCATGAGAGTAAGTATGTTTACATGTTTACAACAGGGATTTTCCAATTTATGTAGCACCTAGCATAAGGCCTTTAAGAAAAAGCATTCCATAAATACTTGCTGAATGAGGACAGCACAGAAAGAAAACATGCCTGATGATCTTTCCATTATGCACAAGATTCTCTGTGTAAATCAATCTTACTGCTTAATACCATGGAGCAGAATATGTGACAAGACAACTGTTAATGACTTAAAGGTAGTAAACTCCACCCCAGAGAAGGTGAGATGAAACAGTTCTGTATCAATTTATTTGTACTCTGTAAGATAGCAAATCAATGTTTACTTAGTTAAGAACCTACTATGCACCATTATTCTAAATGCTTGATATTTAACAATAAACAAGACAAACAACTGCCCCCTTAGGGTTACATCTGATGGAGAAGACAGACAATAAGTACATAAACAAATAAATGATTTCAAGTCAACGTATGGGATTTAATGAAAAGTAATCAAGATGGCACTATACAGACAGGGATGGAGGGAAGCAATGCTATTTTATATTTTAGACAGAGTGGTCAGAGAAGCTCCCTCTGATCGAACAACATCTGGAGCCAAATTTGAGCACAGATGTGAATGAGATATAAGGAAAGAAGCCCCAAGTAACAATATAGAAACAATTAAAAACAGAGAGAAAAGCAAGTGCAAAGACTCTAAGATTAAAACAGCTAAAAGACCAATAAGACTGGCTACTGAGAGCAAAGGAAGATTGGCAGAAGACGAGGTCACAGAGATTTAGGCAGAAGCAAGATCATGTAGGCCAGGGTAAGGAAAAGGAGCTCTATTCTAAGTGTGATGGGAAGCCACAGGATGGCTTTAAGGAGATGAGTAACACAATCAAGTTTACATGCTTTTTCAAAAACAGGTCACTCTCAAGTGCTAGGCAGAACTACACCGTAGGAAATAAAGAGTGGGGACCTGTGAGTGACCTATACAACAATCTAAGGAGGAAGGATGGAATAGGGTAGAGGTAGAATGGTAAGAGGTCATCATACTTTCCAAGTTAGAGTAAAGAACTCCATGACAGAATGGGTGTGAGACGTGAAAGAAATCAAAGATTTCGCCAGAGTTCCCGTGTAAATAGTTGCGTGAGTAGGGTACCATTACTAAGATGGGAACACTGCAGGAAGAGATTCGTTTTGTTTAGTGTGAGGGGAGATGGGAAGGAAGTAACTGGGCATTCTATTTTGGATAGGTTAAATTTCGGATGCCTATTAAACATCCAGGGGAAAATTTAACAGTGAATTTATAAATCTGGAGCTCAGGAAGAAGGTGGTGCTAGAGAAAAACATTTGGAATTTATCAGCATACATATAAGATATTTAAAGCATAAAACTGAAAGAGGTCACCAAGAGATTAAGGATTAAAAAAGAAAGGAAAAAAATCAAGTCCTGGAAAACTTCAAGAATTAGAGGTCAGGCACAGCAGTAAGCAAAATAAACTGAAAGGTGGACAATGAGTAGGAAGAAAACCAAGAGTCTGGTGTCCCAAATGCCACATGAAGAAAGGCTTTCAAAACGGAAGTGGTCAACAGTATCAAATGCTGTTGAGAGGTCAAGTATGGTAAGAGAGACGAAAGGCTGTGGCAATCCTTAAGTTAGTGTTGACCTTACAAACAGTTATCTTAGTGGGATGGAGTGGCCTCAAGAAAGAATGAGAGGTAAAGAAGAAGCGGTGATATCACACCAACTCTTGTAAAGAATTATGCAGTAAAGGGGAGAAGACAAATGAAGCAGTAGATAGTGGGAAACACCTTTTAAACATGAGAGATTGATTCTGTGTATTCTAAAAGGGAATGGTCCACGAGGAAGGAGAAAATTCGTGATGCAATGACAAACAGTTTACAGAGACAAAGCCTTTGAGACTGTCAAAGAAGATGGAATCTCTACACAAGGAACGGGTGACTGGCCTTAAAGAGCGAAGAGTGCATTCACTGTAAAAAGAAAGAAAAATCGTATGGACAAAGCTGAAGTAGGTTAATCTTTTAGTGGGAATATAAATTCTCTTCCCGCTACTTCTTATTTCACAGGGTTGGGGGGGAACAATGTGTATTTAAAAGGGGGAGCAATTTAAAAAAATACTCACATGCTTCACCATTGAGATATCCAAGTAGATCTTTTCGGTCAGGTCTTCTAACCACAGGAATATTTTCAGTCTGAAGACAAAATTTTAAATTAAAAATCAAATGAATAACTATATAAAACTTGATAAAAATCAACATCATATAATGTCTGAATTTTTTTTTTTTTTTTTT